CATTATCTTACTTAATCCTCATGATCTCTATTATCCTCATTTTATAGATGAAGAAATTGAAGAATACAAAGTTAAGAAACTTGCCCAGGGTTGCATGGTCACATAACTGGGTAGCAAAGGATTCAAACCCAGGTCTGACCTCCGGTACATTGTATATCCTTGTAGAAACCTGCTGCTGGAAGAGGGGCTGGGAAGAAGATACAAGATCTGATCAACTTCAATAAAGGAAGACAGGACAACTTCCTTATGTTATAGCCAAAAGGAATAATACTAAAAGTGAAACACAAATTGAAAATAACAATAAAAATAATGCCTATTATAAAACTACATCTAGCCACCTTCAAACCCTCTGGGCCAGGCACGGTGGTTCATGCCTGTAATCTCAGCACTTTAGGAGGCCAAGGCAGGCGAATCACCTGAGGTCAGGAGTTCGAGACCAGCCTAGCCAACATGGCAAAACCCATGTCTACTAAAAACACAAAAATTGGACAGGTATGGTGGCGCATGTCTGTAGTACCAGCTACTCGGGGGGCTGAGGCAGGAGAATCACTTGAACCCAGGAGGCGGAGGTTGCAGTGAGCCGAGATCACACCACTGCACTCCAGCTTGGGAGACAGAGGGACACTCCATCTCAAAAACAACAACTACAAAACAACAATGACAAAAATCTCTCTGGATTTGCCAGACTATAATGAAAAGAATTAAAGCACTTTATAAAAATGCATAAAGCTATACCAAACCAACCAATTTCTCCTGTGAGACAAGACAATTGACTTTCTTTTTTTTCCTTCGAGACAGGGTCTCATTCTGTCACCCAGGCTGGAGTGCAGTGGCACAATCATGGCTCACTATAGCCTTGAAGTCCTGGGCTTAAGTAATCTATTTAACATTTCTAAAGTCATGGATGTTTGGAATCTATTGGGAAATATTGCATCTTCATAATGAATGTAATGATTTCTATTCTAGAACAGCAGATAATGGATAATGCAAAAACCACTTGTATTTCCTTTAATGTACATTTTGTTATTTCTGTAGCAACAGATTTACCTCCCTATTGACTGTTGCTTATTCAGTCTAGTGAATCAGTTTGTTTGCCCTGAGTGCAAACCAAAGGAGTAAATTGGGGAGTGTTCGAACATTCAGAAGTATGAATGTGTCAAGTGACAATAAACACATACTTCCTGCATAGATTATTTAGTGCAGAAGACTGGACTTGGTATTCTCTGGGGACACTGAAGAAGTCCCAGCCCTCATGGAATTAATGGTCTAGTTATAGAGACAGAATATGCACATATAAAATACCTTACATTTTTGAGGCAACATATTAAGAAAAACAAAAAAAGATAAAATATGAAATATAAATACAAAAGCTTTAAGTATATGCAAAGAACAGAATGATTAGAACGAAGATATAACTAGTAGGTGAAGATTTTTGAATCAACTTTATGTGACACCTTCCTAAGATGAAAAGCTTATGAAAGATAATTCCTAACACCTAGTCTAAGTTAAATAAAGATTGCCACTTGATTTTTTTTTCATGTTAAATATACCACGAGACATACATGGTCCTCTATCAGAAGAGTTACAAAGCAAGCTCTGCTTTTTCCTTTAGCAAGTAGAAAAGACTTTCAATAGTTCTTGGTTTCTCTTTGTGAAATAAATATTCCAATGCTTTTCTTAAACACTGCAGACTAACAATGCCATATGTAAATTGCCTTTCGGTCTATACACATTTGAATTTACTTGAGCAGAGGAGCACAGAACATAAAAAATCTTAATTTAATATGCATTTTAGGATAAATAGCTATTAATTCTATTATATTACATCAAATAAGAAGTTGGATGACTTATGGCCAGAGAAGGAAATTATATAATGACATGCAAAAAAAATGGAAACATACAATATAAAATAAGTTCCTTTAACTGCAGAATAAACTGAACATATCATAGTGTTTTTCAATATAGAGTGGCTTTCACTTCTTTGTACATAGAAGTTCAGAAATTAACTACTGTAACAGCCACCTGCTTTTTTTTTTTTTTTTTTTTTTTTTTTTTTTTTTTTTTTTTAATCCCTCACTTCTTATTTTCCTTTATTTTCTATTATAAATGTCTTCAAATCCCAAACTTTGTAATCCTCGCATGATTCATAATGACCAGAGAGCTGTAAAAGAAATCCCACAGGATACATTTCTGTCTCCTGAATTTCCACTCAGCTCTTTTTTTTAATATCTGTGCAAGATAGAGAGGTGGATCTAACTCATTATTATAGTGCAGCCTCAGCGTAAGGATCTCACGTCATGAGAATACTCTTCCCATTTCACTGGCCATTAATGGAAACAGTCACAAGGGAGCAGTGGAAAAGGGTCAGCCCAAGGGTGTAAGCTGACCTCCACACCCTTTAAAGAAACATGCGCACACACACACACACACACACACACACACACACACGCCATCCCTCCCTCACTCCAGCTCCACTTTTGCCCTTTTAACACATTGGATATTTGTGTACTATTTCCTTTGAACAAAGTATTCCATCACTTAAGGAGAGATATATATATATGACAGATATATATATATAAATATTTTAGACATATGTAAAAATATATATATTTTAAACAGATACATATGTGTTTTAGACATATATAAATATATATTTAGACAGATATACATAAATACGTATATTTTAGACAGACATACATAAATGCATATATTTTAGACAGATATATAAATACTTTTTTTAGACATATATAAATATATATATTTTTAGGCAGATATATATACAAATATATGTATTTTAGATGGATATATAAATATATATATTTCAGACAGATTTATTTTTAGACTGATGTAAATATACATTTTTTAGACAGATATATATATAATACACATTTTAGAACAGATATATATAAATATATATATTTTAGACAGATATATATGTATATTTTAGACAGAATTTCACTCTTGTTGCCCGGGCTGGAGTGTACTGGTGTGATCTCGGTTCACTGCAGTCTCCACCTACCGGGTTCAAGCGATTCTCTTGCCTCAGCATCCTAAGTAGCTGGGATTTCAGGCATACGCCACCACACCCGGCTAATTTGTTGTATTTAGTAGAGACGGGGTTTCACCATGTTGGTCGGCTGATCTCGAACTCCTGACCTCAGGTGATCCACTCACCTCAATCTCCCAAAGTACTGGGATTACAGGTGTGTGCCACTGCACCTGGCCAAGAAAATATTTTTTAAAACCATTGTTCTGAAAGATGAGGTATAATGACTTAGAAGCATCCTAACTTAAAACCACTGCTTTTAAAGTCAAATGTGGCCAGGAATGGTGGCTCACACCTGTAAATCCAGTTCTTTGGGAGGCTGAGGTGAGCAGAACACTTGAGTCCAGGAGCTCAAGACCAGGCTGGGCAATATGGTAAAACCCCATCTCTACTAAAAATACAAAAATTAGCCGGGTGTGGTGGTACATGCCTATAGTTCCAGCTACTCAGGAGGCTGACACAGGAGGGTCGCTGGAGTCCAAAAGATTGAGGCTACAGTGCGCCGAGATCAAGCCACTGCATTCCAACCTGGGCAACAGAGCGAGACCCTGTCTCAAAAAAAAAAAAAAAATGTTAGGCAGAAAAATACTGTAGATGAAATGAGAGCAATATAAATTAGGAATTGGTGGTTTATCAAGTAAAATGCCAAACAAATGAAATTAAAGGGTGGTGTTTAATGAGTCATAAATCTTAATCTTTATTTCTGAAAAAGAAGAAAGACAATCAAGGGATTCCACTTACAACTTAATTTGCCTAAATCAAAATTGTTTGAATGAATTTAAGATTATGAAAGCATAAAATTGTCACCTCATCAAATTTATTTGTACTTTCCAGGATTGTACCCTTGTGCACACGTAAACCCACCACAACAAGCTCAGTCCAGTTTTCTAAGCATTGTCTCCATCAAGCATCGTGTTTCATTTTTCAGGCTCACTCTGATTGGATGTTGCCGCAGTACCAGTTCTCTTAGGAGAAGGCCCTTGTCAAAGGCAGACACACAGATTAACTTGAAAATACTGGAACTTTTCTAAGCATTGTACAGAAATTGAATTCAGCAGAACTTTGAAACAATCTATTTTTTACCCAAAATATTTGTGATATTTAATAAAAATAACTAATAGAGCATTACAGTTCCAAAGGGCTCTATCATTAGCCATTAGCTCATTTGATCCTCCCATCAGTCCCACAGATGGACAGACACCATTATATTACAAACTGAAACTAGGAGAATCAGGAGGTTAATTTGACAGAAACTCAGATTTTCTGACCCCAAATCCCCCAAAGGGAACAAGTTTACCTCTGATTTAAAGTTCCACATACTTTGATTCAAGAACAGTATTATAATTTTGATATCTTACTAACTCTATGGGCAAAACTTCCCCTCTCTCAATGTATTTATTTGACTTGCTTTCTGTGGAGTGAAAGGTGGAAGGGAGAGGGAGACAAAAGAGAGCATTTTGCTGGGAAGGTAGATAAATATGACAAGTGTGTTCCTAAGTCCATGAAAATTTTCACCAGTCCTCCCATTATTTATTAGAAATGGAGTCAGGTGGGTATGTATGTATAAGAATAAGGCAAGCTGAAAGCATTAAAATGCTTTCAAAATTCAATATAAGGATTTGGAGGCCTTGTATGGTTTGGCTTCATGTCTCCAACCAAATCTCATGTTGAATTGTAATCCCCAATGTTGGGGGAAGAATCTGGTGGGAGGTGATTGAATCATGGGGGTGGATTTCACCTTTTCTGTTCTCATAATAGTGAGTTCTCACAAGATCTGGTTGTTTGAAAGTGTGTAGCACTTCCTCTTCACTCTCTCTCTCTATCCTGCCAGCCATGTGAAGATGTGCCTGCTTCCCCTTCACTTTCCACCATGATTGTAAGTTTTCTGAGGCCTCCCCAGAAGCAGAAGTCTGTACAGCCCACAGAACCATGAGCTAATTAAAACCTCTTTTCTTACAAATTACCAAGTCTCAGGTATGTATGTATAGCAGTGTGAGAATTGACTAATACAGTGCCCAAATGCTATTGCAGAATTATGGCAATTAAGTCCTTAAAAGCCATCTTATTTCATTGACAGTGAGCAACAATGTATCTGAGCTGATTTATGTGACTAAGGAAAAAAAAATCATCTCAATTTATACTCAGAATGGATCTTTTGACTACAGTGGCTCATATTTTCTAATCAGTCACCAACCAGGCAAATTCAATGAATCAAGTTACTAATATGTAGTAATAGCCAATGGTGTGTGACATCATACACAACTAGTTTAAAAACAAAAGAGCTTAGAAATTAAAAATTCTAATATTCAATTTAGAGCTTAGGAATAAAATTTATTAGTTTACTTTTTAAAATTATTTTGAAAATGTGACACATTACATGGTAATAGAAAAAATTCAAACAGTACAAAAACATAAACAGTAAAATCTTGGCCTCCTACCTCCCATCACTGGGCTCGCATTCCCAGAGGTAACTGCCTGTTAGGTGCTTCTTGTTCATTCTTCCAGAATGAGTCAATGTGGATATGCATAGATGTATATTTTCTTTTTATTTACATAAATATGACAGCATGCTGTACATATTATTCTACACCTTACATTTTGCCCTTAATATGTCTGGGAGGTTAGCCCATGTCTATACATATGAAACCAACTCACTCTTTTTAACCAGTTGCATAGTAGTGTTTGTATAGCTGCACTATCAATAAAAAAATATGCTCTATGGATGGGCCATAGGTTATTCTTTAGACTTTTGTGGTAGTGAACTTGAAAAAAAATACTGTAGTGAATATTCTTCAACATGTGTCCTTATATACATATATGTGTATTTGTAAGATAAATTCCTAAAATAAACATTTTACTCAAAGCATGTTGTTTATCTGACAATTTCTAACATTACTTATTTCAACTAAAAGTGACTCCAAAAATATTTACATTGAGAAAGAAAGGAATGAGGAGTTAAGTGTTGATTATCTTCTTTCACAAGGACAACATAGAAATGAAAGCTTTTTCCAAGAAACGTAATTGTTTGGTTTTGGGGTTTTTTCATGGGCAAGTTTGGAAGGTCACAAAGAATAATGGGATAATTTCTATCATTTGAGGCCTAATCACTCATTAAGACCTCTGGGAGAAAGGCTATCAGAACAGTAATCCACAAAGCTTCTCTCTTCCTTAAGGCTTTATCTCTCTCGCCACCTCTAATGCATGCTGGCATGAAGTGGCTGAAATGATATATGCTATAATATATATAGAGAGAGATTTCTTTTCCAAATCACAACAGTGGTCTGTGCAGAGAAAAACTTCCTCATCCAGATATGAGACTTCTTATTCCTCTAGGGTCTCCCTGGAGCCCTGAAAAAAGATAAGAAGAAATTAGACATATCTGACACTTCTCCATCTTAGGAAACAATTTTACAGGCAGAATCAAACTTTCCCAGTAACATTCCACTGCCATTGTAAAACTCTCCCAGCGTAGCTGAGAATTCCCCAGATTTCAAGGTGTTCAAATAAAGGAAGGGTCTGGGTGAGAATAATGTTTGCATGAGATAAAATGTAAAACCCCATCTATTCTTTCTTTCCACATACACAAAAAAATTAAAATTACCTAGCATATTTTTCTAGCCAACTGCCAAAAACCTGAGATGGAGCTTTTTGTCTTGCTCTCGACTACTGATGCTGGCTTCCTTCGAGGCAATTCAGGACAGCATCTGCCTAACCTCATGTTTCACTGAAATACAGGTTCTGAAAAGCAGCCTGAAGATGACATTCTGGGAAGAAGAACGATGTTGCATGCGGCGGGGGAGGGATGGGAGGCAGGAGCAAGGGAGGTGGCTGAGCGGTGTTAATGCAAATGTATTCCCTGGGCTTATTCACTGGCAAACTCAGTGGACACCCAGCCATTTGAATCTGGGCCAGCGAGTTTGGCTCCTCTTCTGCTGGCAGAGCACGAGCCCAGCACAGCATCCTGCTGCTGTTGGCATGTAGACAGCTGTCTTTCTTCATCTCACCCTCCCCACCACCGCGGCACACTCAACAGGTGTTGCCAGGGACACAGTGTGTTTGGCAGCTGTCAACTTTCAATAATCATCTCTGTAGCATATCCCTTTCTGTTCTCTCACCCCAGTTCTTCCCTTGCTCCCCACTCTCTTAAAAACCCCAGAACCATTTGGGCCTTTGCAAAGGGCAGAGTTAGGCAAAGATGCTGATCAAGGCTCAACATGATCTGGAGAGAGAAGCTCTGTCTGGGCCCCAGCCTAAGTGTAGCTGGGATTGCTACAAGATGCAGGCCTTTGGGGTTGATCCAATTATTCTTTTTTATTCCCCCTTTTGAGGTAAACTTGTTCTGTTGTTTGGTTTTGCTTTTTATTTTTTTTTAATTAAGCCAATATTCCTTGAAGTTTATTTTGCAGTCAAACACAATCCGTTGGTGATGCAGATTTTCACCTTGTGGAAACTGTATTAACCATCATTGTCATCATCATCCTCATCATCTGTATTTATGACATGCACCCAGGATATTTATATGTGTGTTCTATTCTATTTTTCTTGCAGAGGGGTTAAATTTTTACTATTGTTTGACAAAGATAAATTGTATATGTTTATGGTATACATGATGTTTCAAAATATGTCTACATTGTGGGATGGTTAAATGAAGCTAATTAATGTATTACCTCTGAGGTAAACTGTTAACCCATTTTTTCCTGACCTTAAATCCTTCAATTTTTCATTAGTAATTTTGAATTCCAGCTCCTCCCTTTATAATCCATGTGCTCTTAATCACGTTCTTTAACTTTTTTCTGTGTGTCTTTCCCCACCCCCCTTTTTGTGGAGAACAAGGTCTCGCTACATTAGGGAGGTCTCAAACACCTAGGCTCAAGTCGTCCTCCCACCTCTGCCTCCGTAAGTGCTGGGAGGCGTGAGCCACCACACCCAGCCCATTCTTTAACTTATCAAGCCTCAATTTTCTCATCTGAAAAATGAAGACAATATGTGCCATCTATAGCAATGAGACAAAGTAGACAAAATACTTAAGACTAAGTGCCCAGTATATGTTGATGATTCCCTTCCTCCCCATGTCCTTTTTTTTTTAAAAAAATTATACTTTAAGTTCTAGAGTACATGTGCACAACGTGCAGGTTTGTTACACATGTATACATGTGCCATGTTGGTGTGCTGCACCCATTAACTCGTCATTTATATTAGGTATATCTCCTAATGCTATCCCTCCCCGCTCCCCCACCCCATGACAGGCCCCAGTGTGTGATGTTCCCCTTCCTGTGTCCAAGTGTTCTCATTGTTCAATTCCCAGCTATGAGTGAGAACATGCGGTGTTTGGTTTTCTGTCCTTGCGATAGTTTGCGTATCCTCTTGAGCTTCATCCTTAAAAGCCCCAGGCTTTAACTACTGTCCTTGAGCTCTCAAAGACATGAGGCCCTGCTCACGTTCAGCATATGATGGACACTTGAAATGGTCCTTGTCTAGGGCTCCTTCCGGTTCTGGTTCTTATCAAAGTCAGAGCCAAAAAATATGCCTGCCCCTATAGGTCTGCAGGAGATGCCAAATAAATGTTTTCAAAACGCAGGAATATACAGCTATTAATCACAGTCTTGTTTATAATTCTAAATATTGGAAACCCCTGAATGTTCATCAGTGGAGAAATGGATGAGGAAACATTCATTTGATGGCACCCTATGCAGCAGGTGAAGTTAGTCAGCTAGACCATTTACTTAGGCACATATATCCCTTACTATGTATAAGAAACTTCATAAATATTAACGCATTTCAACCTCTCAACAGCTCAGTGTGGTAGAGACCATTATTTTCATCATATTTGTTGATGAAGAAACTGAGACACAGAGAAGACGAGCCTTTTAATGTGTGCAACATGGGTAGGTCTCACAAACATGTTGCCAGAATAATACATGTGTCACAGAGAATTAATGTACATTTCAAAAATCCACAAGAAAATAAGTTATTCATGTATATCGATGTATAGTAAAATTATAAAAACAAGGACAGGAAGATTACACACCAAGTTCATGCTGTAGTTGCTTTGAATGAGGAGGAAGGAGGATGGGTCAAGGGAATGCATGGAGAAGAACTCAGTGCATCTGTAGAATCCCATTTATTTTATTTTATTCTTTGTTTGGTGTTTGTTTGTTTGTTTGAGATGGAGTCTCACTCTGTCACCCAGACTGGAGTGCAGTGGCACAATTTCAGCTCACTGCAACCTCCACCTCCTGGGTTCAAGTGATTCTCCTGCCTCAGCCTCTTGAGTAGCTGGGAATACAGGCAGTCGCTACCATGCTCAGCTAATTTTTTGTATTTTTAGTAGAGACAGAGTTTCACCATGTTGGCCAGGCTGGTCTCAAACTCCTGATCTCAACTGATTTGCCTGCCTCGGCTTCCCAAAGTGCTGGGATTACAGGCGTGAGTCACCGCGCCTGGCTCCATTTATTTTATTTTTAAAAGAACATGTTAAAATGAGATAGTTCTGGGTAACACAATACACTGTTTTTAAGTATATTTTTCTCTATACCTCTCTTTTTTTAAATTGTAAAACAATACCCATACAGAAAAATATACACAATATATTTATAATATTTATAAAACAGTTATTAAACAAACAGCATGTAACCACCATCCAGGTCAAGAAAGAGAATGTGAGTGGGGGCCCTTCCCCAGTCATAACCTCCTTCTGCACCATCCAGAAGCAAGCATGCAAGTGCCGTCCTGAGTTCTGTGATGCTTATTTTCTTGTTTCTCCCTAGAGTTTCATCTCTCATGTCTCCATTCTAAACAATATAGTCCAGTATAGTTAAAACAATTTTTTTTATATTTTATGTATACTTAAAAAATGTTTTTTTGAGACAGGGTCTTTCTCCGTTGCCCAGGCTGGAGTGCAGTGATGCTATCATAGCTCACTGCAAGCTTGAACTCCTGGCCTCAAGTGATCCTCCTACTTCAGCCTCCTGAGAAGCTGGGAACATGGGCACCTGCCCCCAGGCCCAGCTAATTTTTAAATTTTTTGTAGAGATGACATCTTGCTGTGTTGCCCAGGCTGGTCTTGAACTCCTAGGCTCAAGCAATTCACCCACCTTGACCTCTCAACGTGCTGGAATTACAAGCATGAGCCACCAAAGGTAACCCATATAATATGTATGTGTGTATTTTTTGTGTTGTTTTTTTGAGACATGGTCTCACTCTGTCACCAAGGCTGGAGTGCAGTGAGGTGACCATGGCTCACTGCAGCCTCAGCTTTTCAAGCTCAACTGATCCTCCCATCTCAGCCTCCTGAGTATCTGGAACTACAAGTGCACACCACCATCCCCAACTAACTTTGCATTTTTTGCAGAAATGGGGTTTCACCATGTTCCCCAGGTTGTTCTTGAACTCATGGGCTCAAGCGATCCACCCTCCTCAGCCTCCCAAAGTTCTGGGATTACAGGCAGGAGCCACTGTGCCCAACCCATATGGTGTATACGTGTGTATTCTTTTGTGTCTTTCTTTTGCTCAACATTGTGAGATTTATCTGCATTGTTCCCTGCTCATTTTCATTGCCAAATAGATTTTCACATTTAGTTATCCTTGCCACTCTTCATTGACAGTTGAGTTGTCTGCTCTGTAATTTTCAAGCTTAAAAGAGAGGCAGATATTTCCTCTAGCAGATATCCGGGAATGAATATCTTCAGATGACTCCTCAGCTCAGCTTTCAGAAATGATAAGAACAGCCTTAATTGTTTCGCCATGAAAAGAATTTGTGTTTGGACTTACCATTGATGTATTGTTTCTTATTCACTTCCCTGAGTCAACAGCTTGCTTTTCTCTGTTACTTTATTTGCCTTTACACAGTGAAGCTGTAGTTCAGAAAGGGATCCTCAAGGCTCTCATCTGGTTCACGCCCTGTGTCTTACACATAAGGAAACACACGTTGTGTCTTGCGGCTCACTTTTAAATACATTTTAGTAGCTCTGAGACCTATAGATGGTAACTTGGCAATTGGAATAGAAGTTTTAAATGTTCTGTTGTCTCTGGCAGCTGGTTAATCGTATGTTTAAGAATAAAGTGTTGCTAGCATTTCTCTGCAGGGCAAATCTACTCCATATGAGACCCATACTGAGTGTCACAGAGATGTTGTCAAATGTCTAAATGAATTTTTCCCCTCCTCATTATTAATCTCTGTACAGCACTGCACTTAAAAAACCACCCCAGGCCTCAGTAGTGAGGAGGGAAGAGCCCACAAAGCAGCGTTATTCTCCCCAGCACATGCTAGTAATCAGGCCAAGCGGCAGAGACATTTCTGCATTGGAAGGACCTCAGCAATGCTGTAAAAGGCATCTTCCCACTCTCCAATGTTGCCATTAATATGTAAAAGCTTAAGCTTGCTAAAAGGATTACTGCACGTTCTATCTGATGGTAAACTGGCACTGCAATGATTACATGTATCTTTTTGTCATTTTCTCGTAAAACATCTTACTCTTGAAGAGTATAATTGGCCTTTTATTAATGTTAAAGATTAAATTGGCATAAACGTAACCCATTGCTTTAAATGAAAGGCATATTTGCAATCTTATAGGGTCTGAAATTCATGCTTTACAGCATGGCCATTATATATATACACACACACACACATTATATATATACACACACATATTATATATATATACACATTATATATATACACACACATATATAACATACACATATACATATTACATGTATAAATTATATATAATATATAATACAGTCAGTCCTCTGTATCTGCAGGTTCCACATCTGCAGATTCAACCAACTGTGGTTCCAAAGTGTTCAGAAAAAGCAATAAAACATAACAATACAACAATGAAATAGTATCATTTTTAAAATACAGTATAACAACTATTCATATCACATTTACATAGTATTAGGCATTGTAAGTAAGCTAGACATGACTTAAAGTATACAGGAAGATGTGAGTAGATTATGTACAAATGCTACACCATTTTGTATAAGGGATGAATGCTGTGGATTCTGGTATCCTTGGGTATCCAGGAACTGAGGGACAGCTGTATATGTCACATGCTCTGCTAACAAGAACACAAATTTCACAAGAGGGTCATTAAGTGTGATAGTGGAAATGCCCTAACTTCCACCCTTACTTCTCATATATTCTAGCTATTGGAGATAAAGTACCATATACCATCCCATTGTTCAATATATATACCATTTCCCAGAAGACAGTGCCACAACCATGCAAAGTATCCCCAGTTCAACCCACACCTTAGATGAACCTTCCAAAGATTCATCTACCATTTAATCACAGACTCTGTGATTAAAGAAACACCGGCAACACTTTATTCTGTATTTCTGGGTGATGAGGCACACCGTTATTCTTTGGTCATGAGTCTATTTTCATATCTCTTTTGCCAGAAAATGGGTCACTTGGCCTAAGACCATTTATGGGAGAAATGATAAGGATGGATCAGATGGTGATGACAGTGGAGGCCCTGCAGGCAGGTGAGGCACACCAACATTCAAAGCATGTACTCATTACAAGAAGGCTGAATTCCACCCCTCCCAGGTAAAGAGGTCAAATGCAGGTAACCTACCACCAAGTGGCTGGCTGGTTTCTCTGAGGAATAGTGGCAGATGGAGGGTTCAGGTCTGTCTCCATTGCTGGCAGTTTGGACTCAGCAGGGGCAGCAGCTAGATGAGCTTTAATGAGAGAAACCCAAGTTACTGGGCCAGGTACAACTTCAATTCCTTCTACGATGGCCACTGAATTCATGGGGCCACTAAGCAAGCATGAAGATGGCTAGGGGAAAAGGCTAGCTGGCCTCTACTGGATGGGTAGACTCCTCACCTGTTTGTGAAGAGCCTCCTCCATGGTAGGTGCCCTCTGGATGATATTCACAAGGACTCGAAGGTACACACACTTTGTGCCACTTCCACAGGGTTTTCACATGCCTCTTACCCAGACTGACCTATTGCCAGTCTTCCAGTCCTGTTCCTTCTCGACCACTCACTAGTCAACCAAACTATTTTCCATGGCCCATGAGCCTATGTACATACCCTGAATATATGTCAGGTTACTCTTCCCCTGACACAGAGTGCAATTAGGAGGTCATAACTACTACTCATCATCCCCTTCTTCTATCATCCATTTTGAATTCCCTTCACCTTTCTGTTGATCTAGGCACACCTCGCCCCTCACCAATTCTGCTGGCCTAGGCAGTTGTCTGGTGAGATGATCCCGACTCTCATCTTTAAGGCTATAACTACTGTATTTGTCTATTTATTGTTAAAATTAGGCATAGAAGCATCCAGAGCCAGGGCCAGGCAGGTGCCTCATGCCTATAATCCAGCACTTTGGGAAGCCAAGGTGGGTATATCGCTTGAGCCCAGTAATTCAAGACTAGCCTGGGCAACATCGGGAACCCACTCCCCTCACACACCATCTCTACAAAAAATACAAAAAAATTAGCTGGGCATGGTGGTGCACGCCTGTGGTCTCAGCTACTTGGGAGGCTGAAGTGGGAGGATCACCTGATTGTGCTGAGATCATGCTATTGCACTCCAGCCTGGGTGACGGAGTGAGATCCCACCTCAGAAAAAAAAAAAAAAATCCAGAGCCACACCAGTGGTTATACTGAGCACCAACCATATTCTTCCCTTGCACGATTGTTTGCAACAGTGCCACCTGCTCCTGCTATTTAGCTATCTCATAGCTTCCTGCAAGTTAGACCTCCCTTGGCATGACTCTGGCCTTACTGCTAATTTCAGTAAGCGCACCTCTCTTGCTTCTGATGTTTAAGCACTGCTAACCAAAACTGCATTGCTTGCAGACAGCCCAGTTCTGTAATAGCATGTCCACCATCATCCCTGACCTAAGCTGGGTAAGAGGATAGTCACCACTGAGTATCTCAAGGATTCTGATGCCCCTTACCTTCCAGTGGAAGGTAACATAAATATGTTAGTGGGAGTTTTTAAACTTATGTAGTGTATCCATTTCAGCATTCTCCCTTATTTATGTCCTTCAGTTCTTTCCTCCACTACCTACCATGGCACCTCTGGTACTTCTTCACTTAGTGTGGTCATCGAGCTTCCAAGAAGCTTCCAGGAGCTCTCATTAGCACCAGCTCTGGAGTTCTTGACAGGTTATTAAATCCTGAATCATAAAAAGATTGCTACCATTTCAATAAACTATCTATTTTTCAACTTTGTGTTCTATCCCCTTGATTTATCACCCTCAGGAACCAATCCCAAGTATACTCTCCAAGCCATATCTTCCCTTCTGTATTTAGTCTCCTTCCTTAGCTGGCCTAGCACATTCCCAGTATGCTATGCTGAGATTTGATCTTTAATATTGGTATGGTTCTAGAAAGGGAGGTTGCGGGTGGGGTAGGTGGGCAGGTAAGAGAGAGGTAAGCTTGGTCTTTAAAGGCACCTGCATGATCTAAGTTTTCATCATGCCCTTCAATAAAGGGGTTCCATTATCTTCTGACAAAAAGGAGGGATCCCTTCTGTCAATCCAGTAGTTTCAGGGAATTTAGGAGTTCAAGGTTTTTATATACATACACCCAGATAGTCCCATCTCAAATCATGGGGCTCCACACTGATTTTGACTGGAAGTTTCACTGCTTTTATGATTAAGTCTTGAACCTGGTCCTCCTTTCTGTCTGGGCTTTGGCTGCAAGACATTAGGGTCCCCTTAAATGCTACCCAGCAGGCCCTCTGGCTTTCATATTTTGCTTTGAATTGGTCATTAATTGCTCAAGCCTGACATTTCCTCTTCAACTAATCAATAATACTCCACAGTAGCCACACAACTCCATTGTCCTCGTAGGATAATCTCTCTCACGCCTTCTAGGCAACAGAGATATGACACCCAACAGTGCATCCCCACCCACCATCTCCCTTCACCCTTCACCACTGGTGAATTTTTTTTAAATTGCATTGTGACAGCATGCTGGGGGCTAACCATACTTCACCTGTTATCAATGATGGTGTTCTCATTGCCAGGTAGCTGGCGAATCATCCAGCCCCCAAATCTCATATTAGAATCTGGTTCTTAGGACACTTGTGGAACCAATTGTCTTCTATTGTGTCCCCTGGAAACATACTCTGTGATGAAAAGCTGCATACGGAAGACCTGTTGGGAGTGCTTTCAGGAGATCCACCTGAGGGAAATTAAGAGGGCAGAGTTGGTGAGGATGACGCTAACTTACAATGCGGTTGTCACTGAGGCCTCAGTTAATTCAACAGAGAGCTCTAGAACCAATATGGCACTTCAGAGTTGTACAAAATTAAGGCAAGGGGGACAGACCTTTGTACATCCAGTTATCAGCCTCAGATCAATGCCTAGCAAACTGTATGAGGCTTTTCCAGTGAAAGACACATCCATGGGCTGCTAACCAATATTCTCATTAGCAAGGTGCATTGGCCCGGGACAAAGGATCTGGGCAGAGCACCAGGGTATCCATTATACCCAGTTCAGAGTTACCACTTGGTCTCTGCCATTCCCCAGTCCCATTAACCCTATTTGGCAGTAAAGAATTCAATGTCATGGCAATATTACCCAGTCTGAGCCTCAGTTTACACAATATAGCTACTACCAAGTATGTCAAAGATGTGACTGTCCCACTAACCAGTGCATTTATTTTTACCAAAATGAAAAGTGTTCACTAGACTCTGCTAGGGTATATAGTCAGGCGATGGGCTGTGAGTTTATACATCATAAATCTATTCTAACGTTCTCACACCCTTGAGCTTTCTGACCCCTTCTTGTATGCCAAGGGAGTTCTGATATCTTCACATTATTTCAGAAGCCATATTCAAATTCAGGTGTTAAAGAACTATCCCAGCAAACTCTTAGACTAGCTCCATAAGTACTTGGCATAATATTGAGCCCAGATCCATGGGTGAGTATCACCATGTGAATGAATGTAGCCTTATATTTCACCTTATATTCACAAGTTCTCAAGGTTTTTTCTACTTGTGTTCCCCTCTCCCCCTTTCCTGTCACTATTTAGTAGGCAGATCTTATGATTCCTTTGCAGATCTTACAGGAACTAAGCTACTAGGGAGTTATCAAGACTAAGGAAAAAGCATAGTCACTGGAATTGGGAATAAGGTGGGGATTTGTTCACAAGGAAAAGGTAGAAGCAGAAGCTGAAGTGTAGCTAGATTTCGCTATTGAGAGAGGAAACACAAACTATGTTACCACCCTGGGACAACTTTCTTTAAATGTTTGCAAAGGCTGCCTTGTAATGAGTGTTCTCATCAGCCCTAGTTCTCCTAGTGTCTTCTCAGTAACATTACTGGGCAAAAGTCCATTTAGTGTGAATCCACCACAAAATCAGAGCTGGTCTAGCAACAACAGTGATTTCAGATGCTGGGCTAGAGGGCCTTAATTTTCCTTAACTCAGAACTGGATTGGTTCCAGAGCCAAAGGACAGACTGAGTTAGAGGTGGGTAGCTCAGAGATGTAGAGGCATAACACAGAGTGGTTTAAAGCCTGGGATGGGAAATAAGGTAGAGCCCCAATTCAGTTCTCAGCTCTACTACTTAGCAGTTGAATATCCTTGGGGAAGTTACTGAGCTTCTCGAAGTTTCACTTAATTATACTCATTTGTGGACTGGGGATGATAACACTTACTTCAATGCGTTGCAGTAAGATCTAAATGAAATATTACCTGTGGAGTACTTAGAATCACACTCAGTACAGAACTACAACTCAATCAGTAGTAGTTGTAGCAGCAGTAGTAACTGTTCTTACTATTAGTGGTGAGGACAGAAGATGTTGGAAGCAGAGAATCAAGCTATTAATTTATAAAGAGTGTAAAGAGAACTGTAATCTCTGACCTAACAATAGGGAAAGTCACAGGCCAATTCCTAGAAAATCAGGGAAAGGTTCTAAATGCCCCACAGACCTGATAGCCCCCTAGCAGAAGGCAGCATGGTGCAGAGGGATGAGCACACCACACCAAATCACAGATGTCAAGAATCCCAGAAAAGCAACTTCAACTTCAATTGTTGCCTATACATTTTAAGATAAATGCGAAATTGGCAAGGGGTTGATGAAATAGGTAATTTAATACATGATTGGAGTATAAATTGATATAATCCATTGGAAAACAGCTGAGTCATCTATTAAGTCTTAAAATGTTCATGACCCAATAAATCCACTTCTCATAATCTAGCCTAAGGATATAATCCCAAATATGAAAAAAATCTCTATATGTAAACTGTAATTTCCTCTTATTTATTTATTTATTTATTTATTTTTGAGACGGAGTCTGGCTCTGTCGCCCAGGCTGGAGTGCAGTGGCCAGATCTCAGCTCACTGCAAGCTCCGCCTCCCGGGTTTACGCGATTCTCCTGCCTCAGCCTCCCAAGTAGCTGGTACTACAGGCGCCCGCCACGTCACTTGGCTAGTTTTTTGTATTTTTTTGAGTAAAGACGGGGTTTCAACGTGTTAGCCAGGATGGTCTCAATCTCCTGACCTCGTAATCCCAGCACTTTGGGAGGCCGTGATCCACCCATCTCGGCCTCCCAAAGTGCTGGGATTACAGGCTTGAGCCACCGCGCCCCGCCATTTCCTCATATTTATAACATATTATTTATAACAGAAAAAAATCCAAAGGAAACTAAATCTTCAAAATGAGGAAATAGTTAAGTAAATAATAATCAAATTATATGTAATATTATACATGCCTTTAATGTTATGTGTATCAAGTGCTTATAATATTGAAATATGCTTCTCATGTTAAATTAAAATTGGTACATACATATCACAACTATGTAACAAACAGAAACAAAAACTTTAGTCAGAAAAAATACTGAGAGGAAAATCCACATGTCCTGTAAATCTTCTTTCCAGGCCTACTAGATGCATGGCTAATTGAATTGATGTAGGTGAAGGACTTGATGCCTTAACCTAGGAGTGGAAAATGGATCTCTTCTCTTGCCCAGCACTAAAGGATAGATGGTAGCAGCATAAAGAACAGTCTGAGAAAAGTTTCTAAGGCCCTGGGGCTGGGCTCCACTGGAAAGAGGATCAAGATTCATTGATAATGTCTGTCATGAGCAAATTAGAGGACAGTAACAGCGATTGCTTGGAATATTTGACATCCTTATATGACTCCTCTTTTAGATAATTACAGTGTAAGAAATCTGGGTAACTGCATGAAACTGTTATAGAGGAGATTCCCTTCCCTGGGAAGAAAGTAGAAGTACATGACCTCAGAGGTTCCTTCCAACCCTGAGAGTTGTCAAAGTATTTCAGAGCCTCACAGGATTAGAAAGGAGGATGTTTTGCAGGGACTTGGAACCAAAACGAAGTTTCAGAGCCCCTCAAAAGTCACAACACAGTCACTTACTTCACAGACGTCATCCACAAACAGAACAGCATGATTATTGATTTATCACTCAGTCCATCATCCCAAAAGAAAAGTAGACAAAAGCCATTTCACACAACAGTTCTGAAGAAGTAATTTGTTTGTAGAGATTATGCCTGGAGTCTCCCTATCAAATTGCAGACATGTGTATATATGAGGTTTCCTGGCCTCCTGACTGGGTAGTAATCATCTTGTACACTTGACCCAACCTGAGAATTTCTGAAAGTAAAACACAGAGCCCTCCAGCATCATTCAAATTCTTCACGTGTCAATGATATTCTCAGCTCTCTAGCCAGCATCAAGTTACTCAATTGAGTATAAATTTTTCCCTCCACGTTCAGTCAACGGCTAAGTTCTTCAGAGGAAATTGTCGAAAGCTGCCATCATGTTTGGTTTGTAATGCAATGGCAACACTAAACAGCCCAATATGCTCCTCTCACTGAGTCTTCATGTCATGGTGGAATCAACACGTGTTTGGGTTCCAAGCAAAAGCTGGCCTGTGGCAGCTTGCATGGGAAGTGAGGCTCACCCCAGCAGGTAAAACATAACAAACAAATGTGGCTTAAAATAATTAGTACCCATGCAGAGCAATCCCTGCAGAGTGTTTTCTTAGACTAGTTGCTTGAAGCCTTCTTTTAGATAAAGAAATGGGCTGATGGGCAGGAAGAGGAGGCTTGAGAAACAAGGCAAAAACGGAAGCTGGAATTTTAAGACATAAAGCAGGGCTATGAAAAGCAAAAGTTGGCCTCAAGGTCCCAGGCACCCTGAAAGGTCACAGGAAGTCAAAAGTTCCTCTGAATAATTAAAATGTTTTCACTCCATCTGAATGTCTTTTTGTGGTCCAACCACTTTCAATTTTCATTAAAAATTTTGTTTTATTTGCTGGTATTCTCCAACTGGGGAACCTTGCTGTGATCTTTCTTTTTTAAAGCGAGCATTTATTTTGATACTAAGGATAAATAAAGTATTGGCAAAAGTTTCCCCAGGCCAGGAGCTCTTGGGGGATTTTAGCTTTTTCCCATTAAGCGTATATGCCAGAAACATTTGGATGGGTGGGATGGGCATGGCAGCCAGAAGTATATTTGGCTCACAAGAGATTTTAACCAAGAGCTGTCAGGCCCAAACACATTCGAAATCCAAACAATGGAGTGCAAGCATATCTGGAGAACTGTCATAATCCACATATCTTAAATTTATGGAAAATACTTAATGGAAGAGCAATGATGCAAGTTTAATTTTAGGTTCACCAGATCTCAAGCCTTATTTTTACTTTCTTATTTATAAAATAGGTATCTTTGGACGAAGGAGTATTATTCTTTCATGCATCTCAACCTGGATCTATTTATGAGTATGTTGGAAATTGTTTTCTCTGCTTTCAAACATACTTATTACATGGAAACAGAATTAATCTAAGTCTCTCTTTTCATTTAATAGAGCTTGGGAGCCCTGATACCCATTCAATTAATTAATAGTGGAAGAAGAGTCCAAATAGACATTTCTAAAAGCTCTTCAGTATGATGAGCAGAGGAAGATAAGCATTTCATTAGTGCAATGACCACTTGCATCTAATTCTTTGATGTGCCCTAGATAAGCAACTCTAAATGTAATTACAAGGGCATACTTGGGAGATAGTTTCCAGCTGTCATAAATAGAGATGGCTTTTATGAGTTTTTTATTCTAATAACTTAATTCAAATAGATTCCCACTAAACTGACTCCATCTTCACATAAGAAAACATTTAGAAGCCAATTAGCAACAATTATGTGCCAGATAATTTTTTTGAAGTACTCTGTTGCCCAGAGATTAAAATATTCAGAATTTCATGTTCCAAAATTTGCTCATGTGAAATTCCTTCTATAATAACAGAAAATTTCATAAAACCTGGAAGAGTGGAGAACATTTAAGCCCACTGTCCATTTCAGTTCATTTGATGCTTTTCACTGTGTTGTCTCCCCCAACAAAACTTTTGAACACCTCCAATAAAGAGCACCATAATACGCTGTCTAAAAGATCTGCTCTATTTTGGAGAGTTGGAAATTTTAGCAAATTTTTACACAGGCATCCCTCAGTATCTGCAGGGTATTGTTATTTTTCATTGATTTTATCCCAATTTTTTTTTTTTTCTGAGACAGAGTCTTGCTCCGTCACCCAGACTGGAGTGCAGTGGCATGGTCTTGGCTCACTGCAACCTCCAACTCCCAGGTTCAAGCGATTCTCCTGCCTCAGCCTTCCAAATAGCTGGGGCTACAGGCATGTCCCATCACGTCTGGCTAATTTTTTTTTTTTGCATTTTTAGTAGAGACAGGGTTCCACCGTGTTAGCCAGGATGGTCTCAATATCCTGACTTTGTGATCCACCCATCTTGGCCTCCCAGCGTGCTGGGATTACAGGCGTGAGCCACGGCACCCGGCCTCCCCCAATATTTTTGATCCATGGTTGGTTGAATTCCCAGATATGGAACCCATGGATACAAAGGGCCAACAGCATATTAGTTTCCTGGGGCTGCTATAACAAAGTGCCACAAGCTGTGTGGCTGACAATATCAGAATTGTATTGTCTCACAGTTCTGGAGGCTACACGTCCAAAATCAAAGTGCCGGCAGGGCCATGCTTCCTCTGAGATCTGGGCCGAATCCTTCCTTGCCACTCTCCAGCTTCTGGTGGTGGCTGTCAATCCCCATTGCTCCTTGACTTGCTGCTGCATCGGTCCAGTCTCTGCCTCCATCATGTCATGGCTGCCTTCACATCGTCATCCCTCTGTGAGGAACCTGCAGATATGAAGGATCAACTATATATATTAATTCCAAACCTTCTTCCCTGCCATTTCCACCAATTCATCTATGCACTGTCTTCTGGAGTCATAGTAAATGGGCCTATTGAAATTCCCTTTTGCCAGAATAATCATCCAATATCTTCAACCTTTCTTCATAGTTTCTCTTTTCAATAAGACCCCATATTCCCATCATTCTTTTTTGGGGGGTTCAAACCCCAGCTTCTCCACTCACGTAGCTGGCTAACCTGGCAAGATACCCAGGGTGATTTTAGGTAACAGACTGCTCACTAAGTTTTTCAAGTGGGACCTGTAATACCGACAATGTACAGGGTTGTCATGAGGATTAAATAAGATACCATAGGTAGGATATGCTCAATGTTTATTTTCCCTTCCCATTTTCAAGTGAGGCACCCATAGTCAAATGAGATAAGATACAGTGTTCAGAGCACCATCCTTCTACTAACATAATAATATATCAATGTTTTAAAGGTGAGTTTGTGTTTTCTGTAGCTATGTCACACTGATGACTATCATGTTGTGTGTTATGAATGGAATTGTGTCCCCGTCCAAGGGTATATCCTTGTTGAAGCTCTAACACCCAATGTGACTGATTTTGAGATAGGACCTACAAGGATGATTAAGTTTAAACGAGGTCATAAGGGTAGGACCCTAACTTAATAGGACTGGTGCCTTTATAAGGAGAGGAAGAGAGAGCAGAGCTTTCTGTCTACCTGTGCATAATGCACTCAGGAAGAAGGTGTGGCCCTCCGCAAGCCAGGAAGAGAGCCACTACCAGAAACCAAATTTTCTGGCCCCCTGATTATAGACTTCTAGCCTCCAGAACTGTGAGAAAATAAGTGTCTGCGGTTTAAGTCATCTAGTCTGCGGTATTCAGTTATGGCAGAGTGAGCAGGCTGATTCAGAGTGTGGTACTGTGAAGTATGGGGACTGCTATAACAAAAACCTAAAAATATGGAAGTGGCTTTGGAACTGGGTTACGGGACTATACCAAAGAGTTTTGAGGTGGTGTTAGAAAAAGGCTAGATTGCCTTGAAGGGATTATTGGTTTAAATATATATATATAAAATATATAATATATCCATATATATGGATACTACAAATATATATATCCATATACATATGGATACTATATATATGGATACTAAAGGTGATATTACAGGCCTCTAATGAGGCCTCAGAAAGAAAAGAGGAGAGCTATAGGAAAATCCTCTATTATCTTAGAAAGTACAGCTAACCCCCGAATAACACAGGTTTTATTTGTTTGTGTCCACTTCTATGCAGATGTTCTTCTGCCTCTGCCACTCCTGAGACAGTAAGACCAATCCCTCCTCTTCCTCCTCCTCCACAGCCTACTCGGTGGGAAGATGACGAGGATGAAAACCTTTATGATGATCTACTTTCACTGAATGAATAGTAAATACAGCTTCTCTTCCTTATGATTTCTTAACATTTTCTTTTCTCTACATTACTTTATTGTAAGAATACAAGTATATAATACATTTAACTTACAAAATAAGTGTCAATCAACTGTTTATGTTATTGGTAAGGCTTCTGGTCAACAGTAGGCTATTAGCAAAGTTTTGGGAGAGTGAAAAGTTATACAGAGTTTTGACTACATGGCGGGTGGGGGCATCGGTGCCCCAACCCCTGCATTGTTCAAGGTTCATTCAACTTTACATATATCATTGTGAAGAGGACGTTGGTAGATATATGGATGTTAAAGGCCATTCTGGTGAGGTCTCAGACCAAAATGAAAAATAGGTTATTAGAAACTAAGAAAAGGTGATTGTTGTTATAAAGTGTTAAAGAACTCGGCTGAAACGTGTTCTGGAGTAGGGGTTCCCAGTCCCTGGGCTGCAGACTGGTACCAGTCTGTGGCCTGTTAGGAACCAGGCTGCACAGCGGGAGGTGAGTGGCAGGCAAGTAAGCATTGCTACCTGAGCTCTGCCTCTTGCCAGATCAGCAGTGGTATTAGATTCTCATAGGAGCACAGACCCTACTGTGACCTGCGCATGTGAGGGATTTAGTTGTACACTCCTTACGAGAATCTAATCAGTGCCTGATGATCTGAGGTGAAACAGTTTCATCCCAAACCCTCCCCAACCCCTCAGTCTGTGGAAAAAGTGTCTTCATGAACCTGGTTCCTGGTGCCAAAAATGTCAGGGCTGTTGTTCTAGGGTTTTGTGGGAGGTAGAACTTGTGGGTGATGAAACTGATATTTAACTAAGATGCCTAAGCAAAGTTTTGAAGTAGCAGCATGGTTTCCCCTTATCACTTATAGTAAAATATGAGAGGGGAGAGATACTTTGAAGGAATTGTTAAGCAAAAAGGAACCAGACTTGGAGATTTGGAAAATGCTCAGCCTCCTCATATTGCAAAAAAAAAAAAAAAAAAAAAAAAAAAACACCCCAAAAAACAAAAAACGGAGAACTTAGGAAGAGAAGATAACTTTTGAAGAGAACATTGCAAGTGAGGCTGAGCAACCCTTTGAGAGGAAATTGGTTTGGATGTGAAGCACAGATTTAATCAGTCATCTCAACAAAAGTCAGAGATGTAGATGGGATGATAAGAGCAGAAACATTGCAAGCTGAGACTGAAGCAGACAGAGAGAAAAAAAGGATGGAATGAAGGATGGCTGTTGAACTTCTGGGATCCTACAGGATGAGACAATAAAGTTATTTGGGTTTTGTTTTCTTTCGTTTGTTTTGAGACACAGTCTTGCTCTGTCACCCAGGCTGGAGTGCAGTGGTGCAATCTCAGCTCACTGTAACCTCTGCCTCCCTCCCAGGTTCAAGCAATTCTCCTGCCTCTGCCTCCCAGGAATTACAAGAGTGTGCCACCACACCTGGCTAATTTTTGTATTTTTAATAGAGACAAGATTTTACCATGTTGGCTAGGCTGATCTCAAACTACTGACCTCAAGTGATCCACCTGCCTTGGTCTCCCAAAGTGCTGGGATTACAGGCATGAGCCTCCGCGCCTGGCCCATAAAGCCATTTAACTGCAAACATACTTTATCCTTCAAGAAAAGAGAGAAACGACCCCAAAAGTGATCCAGACATCATCAAGGCTGCCACTGTCATCACAGGCCCATGGGGCAAGAGTGCTTCCTCCATGGTTTCAGAGGGTGAGGCCTCTCCATTTCAGCAGGCCAGACGGCCCCCACAGAAAGCCTCAGGGGTGGGAGCAGACCACTGCCTGGGGCCATGGGGGTGACATCACTGTCCCAGTGGCCTGGAAGGCAGAGTATCCAGCCAGAGGATTGTTCTCCAGCCTGAATATCTAATGAGATTTGCCTTCCTAAATTTTAGACTTGCTTGGAACTTGTCATCCTTTCCTTCTTTTCAATGTCTCCCTTTTAGAATGCAAATGGCTATCTTCTGACTATTCTACTATTGTATTAAAAAGCACACAACTTACTTGGTTTCACAGGTTTACATCTGGAGAGAAATACTGCCTCAGGATTGATCACACCTCAAGTCTCACCCATACCTGATTTAGATGATCTCTGGATAACACTTTGGACTTGAAATTGATGTCAGAACGGGTTAAGACTTTGGGGGCTGTTGGGATGAGGTGGCTGTATTTTGCATGTGAGCAGGACATGAATTTTGTGGGACTAGAAGTGGAAATATTATGAACTAAATTATGTCCCTCCAAAATTCATAGGTTGAAGTCCTATCCCCCAACGTGACTGTATTTTGGGATAGGTTCTACATGAAGGTAATTAAGATTAAATAAAGACATTAGGGTTGGGTCATAATCCAATAGGATTGCTATTCTTATAAAAAGAAGCTCTCTTTTTCTCTTTCTCTCTACATGTGCACAAAGGATATGTGAAGATGCAACAAGAAGCTGGCCATCTGTGGCCAGGTGTGGTGGCTCACGCCTGTAATCCCAGCACTTTGGGAGGCCGAGGCAGGTGGATCATGAGGTCAGGAGATTGAGACCATCCTGGCTAACACGGTGAACCCCGTCTCTACTAAAAACACAAAAAATTAGCCGGGCGTGGTGGCAGGTGCCTGTAGTCCCAGCTAGTCAGGAGGCTGAGGCAGGAGAATGGCGTGAACTCAGGAGGCGGAGCTTGCAGTGAGCCGAGATCACGCCACTGCACTCCAGCCTGGGCGACAGAGCGAGACTCCATCTCAAAAAAAAAAAAAAAAAAAAAAAAAAGGAAGTTGGCCATCTGCAAGCCAAGAGAATAGCCCTTGCCAGAAACCAAACTCTCCAACACCTTGATGATGGACTTCTAGAACTGTGAGAAAATAAATGTCTGTCGTTTAAGTCACCCAGTCTGTGATTTTTTTTTTTATGACAAGCTAAGCAGACTAAATACATTGTGTCTACTGTCAAACAAAATCCCTATGGTTTACTTTATATGCTGCTATTAAGACATATCTACCTAACATATTTAATGCAATGTGAGAAAGAGTTAGAGGAGAGAACTTGCTCTTTGTGAATGCAAGTGCCCTACACTACCTTTTTAATGACTCACAAATAATTCTTTCAACCACCTGTAATAGAATCTTACCCAGTACCTATATCAGCTCATCAGATTACAGTTGGTAGAATCATACACTTATTAAAAATGGAACCAAATTTGCTTATCTCCAGGCTTCTGGAACGTCTCCATTCTCCTACCTTTTTCCTCAATAATAATAATAATAATAATAATAATAATAATGGCACCCATCATTTGGCATGATGCTAAGTGTTCTGAGGGATTAATCTCTCTGTGCCTCAGTTGTCTCACCTATAAAATGTGGATAAGAATAGACCCTATCTTATAAGGTTGTTGTAAAGATTAAGTAACTTGGCCAAGGCTGCACAGCTAGTAGTGGCACAGTCCAGGTTCGAACTAGCTATTGAACCTTGAGTAAGTTATTTGTCCTCTTTGTGCCACATTTTTCTTATCAATAAAACAAAGACAACGATAGTACTTACCACATAGGGCTATCACAAGGATTAACTAAC